AAGAAAGAAAGAAAGAAAGAAAGAAAGAAAGAAAGAAAGAAAGAAAGAAAGAAAAACATATTTTCAACAAACGGAAAATGTCTGTGAGGAAGTTTCCATTCTAGCACAATAATAATTAGTTCCTTTGGGATGTGTCTGGAGGATCTTATCACCATGGGGTCATGATGATACTGCTTAGAGTAGTAAGATTGTCTCCAGAATGATGCACAATTCCATTTGTCTCCCTTATCAACATTCCAGAGAAGCTCCCAGTTATGGAAAAAACTGAGCAAATATGTCAGTCTCTTCCTGTCAGGGGAATGATCAACTAATCAACCTCCTCCCCAATACCCACCTTGAAAGTAGAGCTGTGGGGTGGCTGGAAGTAGTGAAAGGTTAAGGCCAGAGGGAGAGTAATCAGTTTTTATTGTCATGCACTGACTGTGATTAAAGAGAGTTTAAGGAGATGTTTTCAGTCAGGTCTTTCACCTCTGGAGAGAGTGTGAAACAGTCTGAGAAGCTAAAGTTTCATGACTGGTGAGAAGAGACAAGGAACAAGTATGCTTTGCTTGTTTTCAGCACTTAAGGAAAATTTTAGAATTATTTGGATAATTCACTTGAAGATTCAGTTATTGCTTTCTCTGTTTAAAATGACAAAGGTACAATTGCTAAATAACTTGTATATAATATAATATTTGTTTGGACAAGGAATTATTATTTAGAATATTTAATTGTATGCTTTGAGGAAGCATTTTTAAATGTTCAACATCAGCCTATGTACTTTGTAAATGTTTCACAAATACACATATTGAGATTATACTCACACACAGACACACACACACACACACACACACACACACACACCATTTCTTTTTTATTTCAGGGAAATGAGTAATGAATACTCTGAAAATTTCAGTGTTAAATTATCAAGTGTCATTCAAATGATTACACATATTGGTCCTGTCTATAATTCATTTCTCTATTAGTGCTGCTTCCAGGAACTTTCCTGGTTTCTAATAACAGTTTATAATTTGCATATATAACTTACGAATAAGAATCCTTTCTGCATTTAGAATTTCACATGTATTTTTTACCCATGCCACCATGGACGTGACCTGGTAACCCATCGGTAGGACTAAGAGGTGATCTGGATTATAACTTTCCAGTCACATTCCTGAGTATGATGAGCATCCACGCTTGCTGACATTCTAAGTATACAAACTCCAGCTGACAATCAAACTTCACGTGTTTATAGGGGTTTAGAGTGGCTACAAAGGAGACAGAGATTGGTGATGGTGCCCTTGATGCTGTGTCCTGCATGGAGCTCATGCTGAAGTGGAGACCGCACCCCTTCTTCCCCTCCCTCGTACCCACCAGGATTCATTGGGCTGTATGTCTTAGACAAGATGAGGAGAGGAAGCTCGTAATTTTCTTCTGAAAAACAGAAACCCGTAGTGAATTTGGACCACAATCCTGGCCTGGCGGTCTGCCTGCCATGCCAGTATTCCTGTGTGACATGCTCACAATCATGAATGTGACACCATCAAGCTGTAATTTAGTGCCCAGAGATATGAGGCTCCAGCTCTGCCACTGTTTGACCCGGACAATTTCCTGTTGACATGGTGTGGGGACCTCTTTGTATGACCATAGACTAGAGAGCCGGGCTGCTGATGGGCAATGAGCCAATGTACCCTGAGGCTTATATTGTTTGGAAAAAAAATGACTGAAAATGTTTCCTGTCATCTGAGCCACAGTGCAAATTTAAGAATTGTGTTTTTGTCCAGGAGGATCCGTTTGGGCCTCTGACCAACTCACATATACCATTTAAGTTGTTTTTGAATTGAATGCCATTCTTTTACACTTGTCCACAAAAGACATGCCTGCTCTTTGTTGTGTTGGCTGCTACACCTTCCATTCAGGTGGTTGTTTTTTTGTGACCTGTTACTGTTATAGTAGTTGCTCTTACAACCTTGTTTTTTGCGATCCAGCTGACATCAGGTGGACGACCACATTACTACGTATCCTACCGAAGGAATGCATTTGCCCAGATGAAACTTCCGAAATATGCTTTGCCCAAGGTGTGTTCCTAATCACTTCATTTCACTCTATCCTCTCATTCACTTTGTCCCACCTCCACCCTCTTTCCTAAGGACCCTTTTCAGTCTCTCATAGGCATTTCTTTCAAGTCATCCCTCATCTCTGTTTCTCAGATTTATTCTTCCTTGCTTTCTTTTTTTTTTTTTTGGCCAGTCTTATTGCCCTTCTCTCTTTTTCTTTCTTCCTCTTCTTTTTCTGTTTCTGGAATTCTTGCTATGGGGACCTCAAAATAAACAATTGATTTATTTTGCTTTTCAATAGTAACGATTTTCAAGCAGTACGTATTGGTTTTCTAACAAGACAAAAATATTTTAGATGTTTTATCAGTGCAACAGGTGTGATCCGTTTCTCTCATTTTATTATTAATTGTTTATTGAGAGTTGATGCAGCCACATGACCTCAACCTTGGCTTTCTCTCTCATTGTACCTTATGAGACTGGTTGTCTTTAGAGTTCTAGGGCACAGCTAACTTTTTAGAGTTCCCCAAAGGCATACCCTTTTGAAAATAGTAGCAAACAAAAGTTAAATACCCTCAACTGCTGACCTCCGCAGGCTATCTTTCCAGAAACACCAAAGAACTGCGTTAATATGGAGCGCCACCTAGTGGAGATAAAACGAACTCGGGAGCTAAAAGCTCCGTATTTGCGAACTTGCTGCCATTATGATATATTTTTAAGCGACTAGAGAGAAATTGATAATGTATTGTGCCCTAATCAAGGGAGATCTGTGTGTCTATAAGGGGACTCTGCAGGTTTAAACAGAGTTATACCTCAACTTTGAAGCCTTTGAGTTACACAAAGAACATAAATAACTTTTTTTTGCTGTTTTTTGGATTGAATTTTCTGGTTTCTTTTTCTTGTGTTTTCATCCATGATTTTGTAGTATACCATCTTGGATCAACTCCATATAGCTGCCCAGGAAATCATGTGAAGAACAGCACAATGGCATAGCAGGTGGCCTTTCCCAGAAGAGCTAACAGATTGTTTCATCCTCTCCAGGCAGAATTCTCTTTCTTGTCTACCACTCTGACCCTACCCCCAACCCTCATATAGTGAAAGGCGGGCTGAAAAATCTCAGCCCACTATAGCTAATGACACTCATCGAATTGCACTGTTAATTCCAAAGAACTAGATGCATATTCACAGTTATTATTTCCATCAGCTAAGAAATTAATGACTGTGACAATTGCCCAAACTGTGTGTAAGTCTGTGTTTGTATACATTTAAATACTTCTTACTCTTGATATGGCTTAAGCTTTTTTTCCCCCAATAAGACAAGAAATTGCAACATCGAAATTGTGCCTTTGGTTAGAATTGGAAAAAGTCAGTATTTGGAAGGGAAATTAAGTGTTGTTCAAATTACCCTTGTAATCTCCCAGGAAGGTTTATCAAAGAGATGAACACATTACCTTACTAAAGACAACAGACCTGGAGTTTTTTTTTTTTTTTTTTTTCTCCTTGAGCACTGAAATAAATTGTTGTTTCTTTGACCAATAAGTGAAGTAGTTGACTTACAAGGTTTGCACCTAAGGAGAAAAAAATGAAAAGAATTATACTCAATGAAGTGAGATGCTGCTCTTGTTCAAGAGGCATGTGGAAATTGAGATTGATCAGAAAATGGCACTCATCTCATGTTCATACTTGAGGCACTCATCTCATGTTCGTACTTGGGAATACACTCTTTAAGTAGAATACATCTTGGCCAAAACTAAATTCTATTTACAGCAGACTAGAGGTTAGAACTTATCTCCTGACTCACAATGTAGTGGTTTTTATACTATAATTGTCTTACCTTGAAACTAAATTAATAGCTTCTATTATTAAAACATAGTATCATCACCCCCTGAAAATTCAGTTTACTATCAGGAGCACCAAGAGGAAAACCCTGTTTACCTACAAATCCCCAGAAATAGTAATTTCAAGCCAAAGAAACTTTTCTGGACCCATTACTGGAGATTTGGGAAACAGACACCTTTAAATGCTTGTTCATAGCCATCATGCAGATCACTGCTGACAGTTGTCCCTAGTGGCATCCAGCCAGTCTGGAAGGAAACAGTTTTACTTTTAACCTGATTTGGCTGTCTATCCTCCTCCTCCTCCTGCTCTCCCAGGAGAGCATGTTCCATTATTCAGTCTCATCTGAGTTCTGAGGGCACAATGCAGTGATTAATTTAGCTAGTTCCCAGAAAAACTAGGATCTAGTACAGCAAGCGAATGTATTATTTGGTCTGGGTGGGTGTTTATTATTTAAGGTGATGAGATGCTTCATTACAATCCCATTACACCTTCAGAAGGAAGTCCCAGCTTGGGTGGAGTGATCAGCAGCAAAGGTGCATACATTTTATGGCTTCCTGTCGGAGCCAGGGCTGCTGAGATTGGAAGTGAGCAAAGCCCATACCGACCAGAGGAAGAGAGGCAAATCAGCACTTTCATGCTCACATTTTCTTAAAGAAATCATCCCCATAGTCACCCTGATTTGTGTCCAAAAATATATATTTAATAATAGAATGGTAAAGAATGACAGGGGTTGGGGGGGGGATTTGATTTTAATGCTGCGGTGTCCATTAAGAACATGAGGCCCTCCAGACAGGGAGACAAAGTGACAGTCTTCCTTCCCTTAACTTACTTGGAGCCCATCCTGAGCTACTCAAGTAAGATAAATGAGGCAATACATAGGAAAGTGCTTTGAGCATTTTGGAGGACAGGTACTCTATAAAAGCAAGGTAATATTATTATTAGTATGGATCTAGTTGTCTCCATGGTGGAAGATCGATGTGGACCAGGATGTGGGTGATGCAAAGTCTGCATGATTCACAACAGGACACCCAGATTAGGAACCTAGATCTGTCACTAACTTGCTTTGAAGCCTTGAGCTGGTTTATCAATTTCTCTTATCCTCATTTTTTTGTTAAATAAGGAGTTTAGATTCACAGTGATATTTTCTCACATATATTAACCAGATTAAATGTCTTTAGTGATTCTTCATGACAGTTTGATGTTGTGATCAAATACATTTAAAAATATAAATGAACTTTCACTCACTGTTTCTTCCCTAGATAGTAACAGTAGCTCCCTGGTATATTGAAGGCTTATGAGCAAGAAAGCTCTTTAATTCAGCATTAATTAAAACGTTTTTCTCAAGAAACCTCCCACTCTTTAAAATATATTTAAATTCAAACAAAACCCATGTCTTACAGAACAGACTTTAGAAAAATGCTCCAATAGAGGATCTAAAGATACCATTTTGGTCTAAAGTCCTGGGACTCAGTGAAAGCATTAAACACAAAGTGCCACTTTGGGAGAAAAAGTACATTTTCTCAATAGAAGATAATTTAGGGGGAAATTTAAGAGGGAAAAAAAGATGACATTGCAATATGTCTAACCTTTCAATTAAAATAGTTAGTATTGACCAGGATTGGTGGCTCCCTCCTGTAATCCCAGTACTTTGAGAGGCCAAGGCTGGAGGATTGCTTGAGCCTAGGAATTCCAGGCTCCAGAATTTTTTTTGTGGAACCACATAGTGAGTTTCCACAAAAAAATCAAAAAATTAGCCAGGCATGGTGGCATGCACCTGTGATCCCAGCTACTCAGAAGGCTGATGTTGAAGAATGGCCTGGGTTCTGGAGGTTGAGACTGCGGTGAGTTGTGTTTGTGCCACTGCATCCCAGCCTGGGGAACAAAATGAGACCCCAAATCAATAAATACATACATAAGTTAAATTGTTAAGATCAAAATCATTTTTAAAATGTCTGTTCAATGTAATTAACTTATATGAAGGGGAAGAAGACCAGATCTCGACCCTTGTCTAGAGATGGTCATTTTATTTATCATCAAGTGACTAGATCTCCAAGTGACCTATATAAAAATATTTGATGCATCTGCATTTTCAGTTCCAAATCTACAAAATAAAAGTTTACTTTATACCCACTGATGGTATGGGTGACCCACTTTAGTCCTCTAGCCTAGGATTATTTAATCAAATGTCTATCTTGAGGACCTCAGAGGTTCACCAGTGCAGAAATTCACTCTAAAAGAATGGAAGTGGAGATAAACTATGCAAGGGCCAAGCTATCATTGAAATATTCAACTTGAATTTAGAGATTATGCTGTTTCTACTGACAAGGAAGGAAACAAGAATTGGAAGTAGTTTGATGATTCTAAACACCAGGGTAAAGATTTAGATCTTTGCTCTCTAGGATGGGAAACCATGGAAAGTTTGGTCCTCCATGGATGAACAGCTCTGGAGCTAATTTCCATAGCTAGGTCTCTCTGTTAGAAAGAAACAAAACACTTGGATGAACCACTTTGTGTTGAGTTTATTCGTTAGGGCACTAATATTTGCAATAAACAGAAAGGCTAAATCAACCTTATTTATTCAACAGAAAATAACTAGCATGTATAGATCATACACTAAGTGCCAGACAATATTATAAGTGATTAACACTCCTTAACTGGTTTCATCCTCACAACTCCATGGGGAACAAACTATCATTGTCTCTATTTTGCAGGTAGAAATTCTGAGGCACCGAGTTTCATTCATACAGCTAAGTTTAGAATTTAAATAGTTTTATTACAGAGTTCATTTTTTTAACCATTTTATTATACTATCTTTTCTAAGGGAAAAGTCTGGAAGTAGAAAATGTTTCTTAAATGTCCACATCCATGAACTCAAAGAATGTCACAGGACTAGACCATGTATCTCTATCTTTTGACCCTATTTTCATCAGTGTGGTCTTTATCCTCTGCCTTCAAGATATGTCTTCAGTAGATTTTGACTTTTTGAAAAAATTCTTACTGCTTAGAAACCAATACTAAGATACTTCTTTTGTCTCTCTAATAATTCCATAGGCATTTTAGAAACATGTCTTATTGAATTTGCTTGGGGCCCATGGCTATCACCTATCCAGTCATTCTTGCCAGGGAAAAAGAATATTCTGAATATCAGGCCTAGAAGAAATTCATTTCTGCTGCTGAGGGTAGAACAAAGAGTTTAGATTCAATATAGGAAGGGAATGTGTCAAAGAGGGATGAGACTGTTTTTCAAAGAACATCAAAATACAGTTGGCCTTCTGGATCTTTGACTTCCACATCTGTGGATCCAACCAACAAAGAATAGAAAATATTTGAAAAAAGTAAAAATAAAAATAACAATACAATAAAGAATAAACAGTATAGTATGACAGCTATTTACATGCACTTACATTGTGTTAGGGATTATAAGTAATCTAGAGATTATTTAAAGTATACAAGAGGATGTGTGTAGGTTATATGCAAATACTGCACCATTTTATATAAAGAACTTGAATATCTGTGGATTTGGAGAGTCCTGTAAGGGTCCTGGAGCCAATCCTTTGGCACATATGGAGGGACAACTGTAATTACCAGAAAAAATGTAAATAGATATTAGGCTGATATAAGAACACATTGAATTAATGAGTAGAACTCATTTTTGGCCTTCCCACTATGATTTTTTCTACAAAAATGTTACCAAACTGTAGAATATGTCATATGCAGTCTGAGTAGGAGGGAAGAATATGAAACCCTTTGGGTAAAGACTTTTTATTTCTGAGATCATGGGTTCATTATGATGAAGACTAAAGAGGAGGGACAGTCTTGTTCCTACACGTCTAGAGCAGAGTCAGAGATAAATTGTTGATTGATTGGGAGAGCATGGGTATATATTACAATGAGAAATTTAGATTAGAAGTTAGGTACAATTTTCCAGCAATGGAATTGATAACAAGGACATTGTCTGATCTCCTGAAGCTTTTCAAAATTAAAATATGGTTCCTCTAGGAATATTTGGATACTGCACTAAACAAAGGACAAGAATCTTTCTACATTGTTCTTCTGCATTTGTGATTATTTGCAAGTCTTTTGTTTTGATTTTGCTTAGTTTTTTGTTTTGGGGCTTTTTTGTTGTTGTTGTTTTGTTTTTAATTTTGGAAATTGTACCATGTTTACTGCCTCGGGCAAAGGGTAAAAGGCAGCCAAGAACATATAAACAAGCTTCCCTACAAAAGACATCAAGCCTTGATCTGAGTCACTAAGTTTTGGTCAGTCATTAGTCTCTATTGCACTGCTCTAGAATTATGAATGGGAAAAGAAAAAACTTGGAATTTCCAACTGAGGGACATCTGCTCTGCCTCCACATTACCTTTGCCTTGTTTCTGTCTTACAGAACCACCAGAGTTTGAAAACATCTTCAATTATGCCGACTATTTTTTCTTCTTTCACTTGGGGTTTCCTGCAGAACCTCTCAGGGTAAAGGTTTTGATAAGCAGCTAAGTCCTTAAACACTCATTAACATGAAGATTAGTACTTTGGAGTTCTCTGCCGAATGTTTTTCTCAGGGGTAGGGCGAGACTGGTTTGAGTTACTGAACCTTGGGGCAGGACTTCTCAAAGTTTAATGTGAATACTAATCACTTAGGGACTTTATTAAAATGAAAATTTCAATTCCCTAGGTGAGGCCTAATGTTTTCTGTTTTTAACAAGCTTGCATTATGCCCTTGCTGCTAATCCATGGGCCATGTTGGGAGAGATTTTTGTCTATTTTCTCTCTGTTTTTCCTTCTTTTCTTCATATCTGCTCTGTATTAGACTTCGGAGCAAGTACCATGTTTGTGCTTGGCAAATATACATATTTAAGAAAGGTTTTTTTGTTTGTTTTGAGTTGGAGTCTCACTCCATCACCCAGACTGGAGTGCAGTGGCCGCTGCCAGCCACTGCAGCCTCGACCTTCTGGGCTCCGGCGATCCTTCCGCCTCAGCCTTCTGAGTAGCCAGAACTACAGGCGCGCACTACCACACCCGGCTGATTTTTTAAAATTTTATTGTAGAGATGAGGTCTCGCTGCCCAGGCGGGTCTCGAACCCGCGGGCTCAGGCAATCCACTCACCTCAGCCTCCCAAAGGCACGGGATTACAGGCTGAGCCACCAAGCCCGACTAGAAAGTATTTTTAAAACTACCTAATGATGCAATTCAGTGATAACTAAACTACCAAGCAACCTTCTATCCCATTTTCTCGTGACTTTATTGACTTAATCCCACAAGTGACAAAGAAAATATATGATGAACACAACTAATTATTTATTATTTCTCATATATGCAAAAGTAAGCTCTCTAGCTTCCGTTAAAGTGCTCATTCAGGTATTCCTCATTAGATTCCACACTCTTTGAATGCCTGCCAGTTTAATGTATAAAACTCTTCTCCCTTCTTCACATCCTTGTGTCTTCTTCAGGACATGCATGTCATCAGCACAGATGAGAACCAAGTGTTCACAGCCGTCCAAGAATGGAACCAGAACGACACATACAACCTCTACATCTCAGACACACGTGGTGTATACTTCACCCTGGCCTTGGAGAATGTCCAGAGCAGCAGAGGCCCTGAGGGCAATGTCATGATTGACCTCTATGAGGTATGTCATGAAGCATATATGGTCCTGTGTCACAGCAGCACACAACTGGCTGACGGAGGCCCGGCACTGGCTTGTTTTTCATGATCATTTTAATACTGGGTTCTTATATGTCCTCATTCTTCTTGGGAGATGGAGAGATTCATAGGACATTTTACTTGGTTAATTTGCAATCCGCAGAACATCTCTGGGAGGGATTCTTTTTTGACCAAGTCCAAAGGACATGAGGTTCCAGAGGACTTAGAAAAAGTCTGGGGAAGCAAACAATGGAAGGGTTTGAACAGGAGTGATCGGCATGTGATACTTGAACATAACTCTGAAGGACAGACAAGTGGTGAGTAAAGAAACACTGGGCAACACTCCCTTGCCTCTTAGAAGAAAGATTGAAGGGGATTGGGGGGCCTCCTGGGATCTGTCAGAAGACTCTCCTTTTGGACTTAAAGACTTTTCTAGCTATATAACCTCCCCTGGCTAATGACCTTCCTTTCACAGGGCCATGGAGTTCTTTTCCTCCAAAATCCAGAAAAACAAAATAAACAAACAGCTACAACAAGAATAGAGCTTACCAGACTTCTCTTAGGAAACTATGGCTCTTTGTTTCTCAAAATAACCAAGATTCAAAAGAAAAGATTCAGCTCACTTTCACGATAAACATCGATGCTTTAATTGCTATTGAAGGCAGTTAGGTGGAAAGAAAGCTGCTGTTTCAGGAAGGATTTTAGCCATTTGTCAGTCTTATCATGTGCTATGAAGGATTTATAATAGGTTATAATAAGCCATTTAAAAACATATTCAGAATTTGGGAAACACAATCATGTACCTATATTCCATCTGAAAAAAAAATCTAAAAGGAATTCAGATGTGTACAGTTATAATGATGCTATCGTTTGGTTAAGTTCAGTGAGTCAAAAGTTGTTTGTGTTACAAGGCAAGGGAGTTATATCCCTTGTGAAAGAAAGTAATTTCACTAAAACCATTTTAACCTATCGTTGTAATTCCTTTTAATGTGTTCTGCCTTCCCTCCTTCATGAGATCTTGGTGATTTTCTTTTAGTATCTAAACTTCTCTGCATGTGTAAAAAAGCATGTTAGTAAGCAGTATGCCTGATTTAGAGCCCAAGTATTTGTAATAGCAGACTAGTATAGGGCATAGTTTGTATGGATATATTTACAAAAATGTACTGCAAACTTTCTCATACTTTTTAAAAACTTTCTGTCCTGTACATGTTTCAAATAAACATATAAATAAATAAAATAAAGATATTATATAAGCTTCAAACTGAACATGTATTCTAGAAGACATTTGCATATTCTGATGATTTATTTTCAAATTCTTATTGAATAAAATTTACTTTAAAGATCTTGGATTCAGGTTGCCTGGACTTAAATTCTGCCAGAGCCACTTGTGTGTGTTCTTGAGACAAATTCGGTAACTTCTGAGCCACAGTTTCCTTGTTTAAAATAAGGAGATATGCAATCCCTTCGGGTCCCCTCCCACTGTGGGAGATTATCTGTCCTCTCAATAAATTCTGCTTTCTAAAAAAAAAAAGGAGATAAACATAATACCTACTTGATAGACTTTCCCTGAGAATTAAATGAGTTAATCCTTGTAAAGCACTGAATACAGTGCCTGAAATTCAGCAATGCCCACAAATAATAGATAGCATAATTAATATATTCCAGTATATCCAAGTACCAATACAATGCTCTTTTCTTATAGTCTAAATCTACCCATATTGTTTTAATGTCCAATACATTTCTATTATTTTGGGTTTCTACTTCTTCTGCTTCTTTCCATATGGCATTTAGCATAGTCATCTGACATTTTTTAACACCAACTAGTTGTCTTCTTATAAACAAAAGTAAATTGCCACGTGTCTTTCTTCATTTGTAAATGGCATATAAAGATTGATTTAAACTTGAAGTATGTTTTATTGAAATGCCATGCATTTTCTTGCCTGAATTCAACATTTACAATAGAGATATTCTTGCTCCAAGCATTGACTGATGTGTAGTCAAAGCAATTGCCCCAGCCTAATCACCCAGTGTGTTTTCCTGGACCTAGTTCTATCCTTGGCCTCCCAAAAAACATTTTCTGATTTTAAGGTTGTATTTTCCCCTTCCTGATTATCCCCTTCCCTCATTTCAAGTCAATGTGGAATTGATTCTCTGGATAAATTTTGTTTTCTGCCAGAAATAAAGATTATTATAATTGGTCCCGTGATGATGGAAAAGACAGATTTGGACAGAAATGACTTTTCAGTGTCTTGTTATTTGCAACTGTTTTCATAAATGGTTTTCTGGTTTCAGGCATTGGTCCCAGGTATGAAATGAGAAGAGGAAACAGGGCAACCTCTGGTCATCACAAATATTGCTTTGCTAATTTTTGTGTTTTCCCTTTGTGTCTCTCGTGGTTGACTATCTGTAGGGAAAATACCAACTCTTATTATTATCACTTTGAGCAGTGGTGTGACTGTATTATGTAAAGGTGTTCTGCATCCTGGGGCTGGGAGAGTAGAGTCTTTATTTTATTAGCTTGACAGTTCATAGCAACTTGAATTGAACTTAATGTGATCAGAATGGCCGTGCTGTATCTACTGATTACCTAGATAGAAAGAATATTGGCTGACACAGAGTCTGGCACAAATGTTCCCTTAAATCTGATTGTTCTGGTGAGCAGGAAGCTGGAAGTCATCCAGCATGAATTTTCCAGTAGAATTGTAATGAGTGATGAGAGCTTAGAGTTAAATGAAAAGTAAGAAAATCCATAAATAAATTAATAAGGAGTAGAGATGAGCAACATATGAGGTGGTGGGTTACAGAGGTACATGGAATCCATTTCTACTCACATTTGGGGTGACTGAAAAGAATGGCATTCTTTTTTTGTTTGTATGTTTCTGCATGCCAGTTACTTGCTATTCCTGTATTTGTATTCTCTTTAAGCTATTTTTAACAGAGGTGAACTGTATAATGCATAAGTGTGCGGGTGGGTCTGTGTACCAGGGATGTGCGTTGTTGTTGGGTTTTTGTGGGAAATGCAGAAGGAAGCACAGTTCTCATTAAAATTAACCATTTTTTGCACACATATTTACAACCTGGCAACAGATGCTATATTTCTATCCTAGAACTATGCGTGTATATGGGATGAGTTAGGACCTAATTCTTAAAGTATGCCAACTCTCAACTACAAACTAACATGTTTTCCTTGAAAGATCAGTCACAGGGCTTATATTTTGCTGTGGAGGAGTAATAGCATAAAGATTGAAGGACATTGAAAGGCAGGGTAAATAGTGTTCGACTTTTTCTAGCAGTGGAAGAAACCAGGCAGGAAGGAGAAAATTGTGTGTGCACAACCTTCCGAACCAGGTGCTGAGTTATAGCTAAATTGAAGCTATGTTTACATGAGGCTCATAGTCTTATCTAGTGGATGTATTTGTGTAAGAAAAGTCTAAAACAAGTGTCTTAAAATTCTGTTATTTCTGAATGGAATGAACGTTCGAGTGGTATCATATGGATTTGAGAATAGAAGACAGCGTGCCTGAAGGATGGCCAGAGCAAAAGTGACTAGTGTGTCTGAAAATAGTGATTCCTAGTACATTTTTGTAGTGTGCATGAGGAGAGGAAGTCTGATAGCTTTGGACAATATCCTCTCTCCTTTGGGAAAGGAATATTAATTAATGATGATGAAGAGCACTTTGGCTTAATGAACAATGACAGTTCACCCTAGCAGAGTGGAAAACGTTGTGTCAGGCATGAAACCACCTGGCTGAGAAATTCAGAATGCACAAGGATGTGTATATACATGAGTAAGCACTGGTGGGCATCATGAAAGACACAACCAGTGACCAGGGCATACTCTGTTACATACAAAGTGTCTTCTGCACATTATAAGTCCCTCCTCTCTAAAAGAGAAAACTCAGTGGTCATGGTGATATAGCTTACAGTGTGATTTCTTGGAGAAAACCTGCCTCTTTCAGTCCAGGGTAAGAATGATCTCCCATCCAAGACATATTTATTACAGTATATTGAATGGAGCATCTAATTATTTAAAGCTACTCTCTCTAAAAGGGGAGTGCTGTCTGATTAGGGCAACAGAAAAAGAAAGAACACGTATACTTTAATTGGCCAATGGGTTTTCTGATTATAAAATTAGGAAATCAGAGGCCGCTGATCCCTGCTGAATATATGTCCCTCCTGTCTGGGACCCTCTGTTTAGAAGAGAAAAATATTCTATCTACAAAACCCAGAGAAACCACGATCGTGAATATGTCCTCATTCTTGCCACAATTGTGGTTTCATTTTTTTTTTTTCAAATGTTGGTACTGAAGATGTGTAATTTAAATCTGGGACTGAAAGGATGGGAGCATTCATCTCTTACTATCAGAGGCAGAAATGAGCAAAAACCCCTGCCCAAGGATCCCCTCAACTTAACCTCTGCATGAAGAGTTGGTACAGGAGAAAACCACCCAGGGAATAAACATAAAAAAAGGGAGATATCTGGGGTTCTCCTTTTAAATCAGAGATTCCCAGCCCCTGGGCCATGGGCCGGTTGAGAACTGGGTCACACCGCAGGAGGTAAGAGTGGTTGAGCCAGCAAGGCTTCATCTGTATTTACAACTGTCCCCCATTGCTCACATTACCACCTGAGCTCCACTTGCTATCAGATCAGCAGTAGCTTTAGATTCTCATAGGAGTGTGAATCCCATTGTGAACTGTACATGCGAGGAATCTAGGTTGTGTGTGGCTTACAAAATGCAATGCCTGATCATCTGAGGTGGAGTTGAGGCAATGATGCTAGTGCTGGGGTGCAGCTGCAAATACTGATTAACATTAGCAGTGAGGTTTGACGGCACATCTCCCCCCAACTCGCACCCCATCCATGGAAGAATTGTCTTCCCTAATGCCAAAAAGGTTGGGGACTGCTGCTTTAAATCACACACACAGAAACAAAAAATCCAAATTTTCAGCACCTAGCACTTTCTAACTTTCAAAAGTCAGTATTGC